CTCCAGCCAAACATCTCCATTGCGTTCAGTTCTCTGCCAACGTTTCCACTTGACTCCACGTCTACCCACATGCTTTCATCTCCTCTTCACATGACCTCCTCCGTGTCACCCCACCCTCGCACTGACGATCAAATAACTCGCCACTTCTCATTCGGGTTCTACTCGAGCAATGGCCTGTCACTCGATGGTTTCTTTCCTTAGAGTATGGTCAATCCACTTCAATTTTTTCCTGCATATTTGTTGCACAGTTGGTTTCTGCTGGGTTGGTTTGCTCATTGCCAGAGATTCGTGTTCCTGATGTTTTCTGGCTGGACATCTGATCTTGTGTAGTATTGAGCGAAGACAGCTGTTGATGAAGGTGTGTAGTTTGTTTGGGGTGGTCTTCACTACGCGCCAAGTCTCTTATCCATAAATTAGCATTGACTTCATATTGGAGTTGAAAATCCTGATCTTATTTTTCATGCTGAATGCAGTTGACCTCCACAGAGACTTGAGAGAATAGAAAGCTTGTCTTGTTTTCCCGATTCTTGCTTTTATTATCCTCATCAGTTCCGTCTGTAGTTGAATCGATGCTCCCCATGTAGGCAGGTAAAGGAGGTTTCTTCTACCAGATTTCTCCAGTTTATGCTGATTGTTGCCTGTTATTGTTATTGCTGTCGCTGTTGGCCAGGAATCTTCATCACCTCTGTTTTCTCTATGTTCACCTAATGGCCTATCTTTGATGCCAGAATTGTAATCATAATAAAATAACAAAAGTCAAAAGACGGTTAACAGTGAGGCGAATAGTCATTTCTAAAAACTTAATATATATTATGTAGTTGACTTTGGCAAAGAAAGGGATTATACAAATTTCTTTTGAACACAAACAGATTTAACTTGTTCAAATGAATGCCGAATGCCACTGCTGTGTGTAAAACTTTTACTCGTAGAACATGCAAGAGTTTGGGTGACATGAAATAAATAACTTTAAAAGTTTTGTTAAAGTGAGTCGACTTGATGTCCAGGCAATTTTGTTGAGATGAGCTAGTATTGATCTGTGTATAACTTTATTTAGACGTTTGCTAAGCCAAGATTAACTTCCACCCCTCCTTCAAAACTTAGATATCTTGTTACCAACATTTATTAGTGAATTTTCAATAGTTAGTTTGTAAGGATTCGATTTGTTTTTTCCCGAGTTTGACCACGGATTGATATCAATTAGAGAATCATTGAAAACCAGCGGGGAGTACTACCAGACAACTGTTTCATCCTAGTTCGGGAGTGATATGTATCCATATATATATATATATATATATATATATATATGGTGGTCTCTCTTTCTGTTGCTCTCTTAGTCTGTGACCATTTCACTTTGATGAACCTGTCTCCTTTAACAATGTATATTCCCCTTATATTATATATAATATGTGTGTTTGTTTGACATGTCTGCTATATTTTGCTATGTATATATGGATCGATACTCCATTATAATTAGCCAATCATGTTAAGACTGTCTATTGATTTGTTCATTTTGAATATTCGCTCACATACTTGTGTTCACACACTTGTTCGGACATTCATATATATTTTTGCTCTCACACTCTTGTGTGACGATTGAGTCTCCTTGTGTTTTGGAAAATAGAAGTATCATCGCAAACCTAGTGGTCTTCTGATTTCCGTCTTTCTTGCGTCAGGACTATTAAATTCTCGACCAGTACATAACAATAATTTGGCGACGAGTACATAACAGGGAGTCGACGCCACTACATGCCCACCATCAGGGTTTGAACCTAGGACCTTCTGGTTACAAGGTAAGCTCGAATAGAATTCATTCACTGGGACCCGATTCCATGGCTAGCCCATGAATTCTAACTTCTACCAATTTGTGATTTAACGCGACCACCAACCAATGTCATCAGCAGGAACTCCATCTTCAATCCCTGACTAGATGGACCTCAATGGTCAAAACTTCTCACCAGAACCCCGGGAAACTCCGTCCTGTAGCAAGTCGCTAGCAAGCACCAAAATAATTTTAAAGACTTGGTTTAAAAAGGATTAGATTTGTTTTTACAAGTTTGAGTGGATACGTACGGCCAATGATTCCTAAACACAGCTGGATAAGCATTATCAATAATAACAAAACTAACGAGACAAAATAGAAGAGACTAGTGTAAACAAATGAATTCGAAAGTTTAAATGTTTTCATAGCCAATAAATTGTGATAACTCGATGCAAATATAATCAAATCAAATCAAGCATAGTCAAAATATCCTGGACAATAACAAAAGCACACTGTCTATTCTTAAATATGATTACTAACAAGAAAAATGAATTAAAGTTACCTCTTAACATAACAAGTAAAACACTTTAAGGTATTATTACTCTGACAGAACGAAAACATAGATGTAACCAAAGGAATATAGATCATGAATAGTGGAATGAGAGGCTGGAAGAAGAAAAGGAAAGAAACTAAACGCGTAACTAATAGTGTGATCGATTTTAAGGAAAAGTATAAGTCTGGTTGACATTTTTAATGGTGTCATCCACTATACATAAGCTTGCACTTATATCACTGCAGTAGGAATCTTACATATTTATACTGATGAAATTTGTCTAGACAACCCCTTACAATAATAACCCATTAGGCCATTGTAATATCTGTCTGAATTCGACTGGGACATAGGTTGAGACCTTTGAAGTTCCAATGAAGGTTGTTTTGTAGAGGGCTTGATAGCCTCACATCCAACCTTCTCTTTTTTCCGGGATTCACCACTTGTCTAGACGTGGTTAAGGAATGAGTGTAACTACAGTAGATAAGAGCCAGGCAACAGATCGTTTACTTAGAAAATCAACAGATATTTATGGATTTTTATGTACATTATTATTAGCGTTATTGTTAGCAGAGAAGCAACGTCTTCTGATTGGTTGTTTTCTCCCTGAAAGTTAAACTGCCATCTGTTTGTGATCTTTTCCTTGAAGGTCACACCATATATTTGGCGATTCATATCCGCCCACGCAAAGTCTTTGTTCTTGTTTTTCTCATGACCAAAATTTGGAAAGCAAACACTGACGTAAACTGCTGTCTACCAGTTTTGGCTAGCAGACAGCTTTCACCACATGAGTACGTCGGTCAAGAACCAAACCTGAACCAAATGCGTGGTTATCAAGCATACTGTCATTCAACCACTGATGCCAATATACTCTATTTCTCTATACAGTCTGTTTCCACCATAGTATATTTAGAGAATTTTAAAGATTGCATAGATTGTTATACATATCCTGAACTAATCACAAATGTACATTGTGAGTAATTCTCATTTTCTTTGAAATGTTTTCTTTATCATTATACTATCATAAATTACATCTTGATAAGACAAATATTCATTATTATGAAGTCAATGTGGAAATCCGATTCCTTTATCATGAAGAAGAAAATTTGAATTTTCAAAGTTAATGTTAAACTAGTTAGTGCCTCAACATAGTTTATATACTCGGTAAGGGCATAAAGAAAAGCAGTTCTAACATGTTAAAACAGACTTTTATCAACAGTTGCCCACTTCACTGGCCCTATGCTGAAGATCATACGGCAGCTGACCAGAAAAGATTAGCTCCAGGGGACTCTGAAAGGTTGCAAACTGATCGACACCCTGAAGTCAATTTGTTGGTGCACATTTCGTCCCAGTGAGTGATGGTGTCCCCACTGAGACTCGAAGCCAGTACCCATAGTCTCAAACGCCAAAGCGTTATCCAGTAGACCACATGGGTCCAGAGTTATATGACCAGACATCACTGAACCATCTGCACAAGGAGCTGACATGTTAACTTGAGACTGAGCACTTCGGTCTAATCAACCGATGGGAAAATCTAAATTGAATTAAATAACCAACAACCTATTTGCCAAAAAAATACCCGAAAGGGAATGGAGATGGAGTGGAAATATTCTGAGAAGACCACTGAGTGACATCACGAGCCAAGTCCCTAGGTGGAATGAGAATAGGAAATGACGAGTTAAGCTTTAGAGGATGAAATGAAGAAGATGCTTTGAAGCGGAAATAAAGCTGTTGACAGTAGTGGAGGTGGCTGAAAAGGACTGCTAAGAACAGGATGATATGGAGATGTACTGCTGAAACCCAATATCTCATTCACAACTTAAGGGAATAATCTATAATGATAGATTTTTTTCAGTATGGACCCTATTCACGATCCCGTATTCTCCCTAAAGACCACCACAACTTTTGCATATATGTGATAGGATTGAGTGAAAGAGGATTAGTTTGAGATACTTATTTGTAGTTGCAACTCCATACAGTCAGTCTACAAGAATAGAACCGATCCGCCTCTGTTGATATAGGTGTATAATAGCAATTTGTGACTCAACAGTCTAATAAGGAGCACTCTGGTATCGAAAACAACATTTTTTTATTTTTGATTACAGCTTGATGCCACACCGTATATTTTGGTACAGATATAGGATTTTCAGCAAGTGATATCGGTAGCCCAAATTTCGCAGGCCGACCATAGATATCAGGTGTGCGTCGGCAGGGGATCGAATCTTGGACCATGTGCATGGTCGGCGAGAGTCGTAACCGCTGTGCCACCGACGCACATTTGAGTGGAAACCCGCTCGGTCACTAGGGGTACAGGCATATGTTGCAGATGTATGACTGAGGATAAAAGCCACCGAGAGGTGTTTTGGCACAGAGTAGAGTAAACACTACAATAGATATCTCAGCTGTGTAAAAAGGTTGATAAAACTTCTTTAAAACACCTAAACTAACCATCTGATATGATTACGTCATTTCTTTAAACACGCTATACAATATCGTGAAAGATCATCTGTCTAAAGAAATCCAGATGTACAGATTGCAACACCCCTCTGCAAAAGACTTCAGTGCAAATCACTATCTAACTAGTTGCACTGCAAAGTGGATTAATTTAACTCTTCCGTTGACGACATAATTTATCACCATGGTAATCAAAATTCATATTCCTTTTTCTTCCTTTTTAAATAAATTCAACAGTTAAACTCCATTCAATGTCTACTTCTCCGCATACCCTGTCATCGACAACTGTTGCCGCCACAGCATCACCACTTACAACCACAATAACAAATACAACACCATCAACAGTCAATAGTGGTACCGGTACACCGACTATTATTGGTAATCATGCAACATTGATACCATGTAAAACAACAATCAGTACACAAAGTGAAGAAACACATTCACATTCACAACAACCTCAAACCGTTTATTATGCATTAGCTACAAATGATTTAATCAGACAACTTAAATTAAATCATCAAACTATTCAAATCGATTCGAGTGCATCATCAAGGCAACAGATTATTCAAACACCATCTGGTTTAATGTTTATTCAGTATCCTCAACAACAGCTACAACAACAAGCGCAACAAGCACAACAAGGTCATACAAGTAGTTCACCGTCCAACATTGCTTCACAACAACAACAACACCAACAACATGTACAAAGTGATAATACATTGTCTCGTAATCAAATGACAGCTAGTTCACTAACTAAGCATAATGCTCAATTAGGTGTTGTAAATTGTGGTGCATCTGCTGTTGGCATTATCACTGGTAGTGGGATTGATTCAAATACTCTACCACGACATTCTACACGAGTAGAACATGTACAAGGATCAGGATTAATATGTACATGTCCTCCTGAAGTACATCAAGGTGAGTAAATAAAAAATCAATTATTTTATTGAAATATCTCTTATCTGTTGTCCCTAATGTTGAATAGTTGTATAATGAAGTGATTTTTCTTTCCTTCATGTTCCCAGTGGAACACTGGGCATCAAGCTAGTGGCCTGAAGTTTCTGTAGCAGTGTTTAATTTTTTACAGGATGGGGTTGCTAGCCTCATGCCCAACCTTTCCTCCTTATCAGCATTATTTCTGGCTTAGCAAGTAAAGGACTGCGTCGGCCAGGGATCAAACCCCGAACCATGTGCATGGTCGGCAGGCGTCCTAACCGCTGTGCCACTGACGCACTTAATGAAGTGATATATATATATATATATATACATAAATGTATATTCAGTCTGAAGTGGACTAATGACTGAATCACTTACCATTCCGAATCTTGTCAGGTAGCCAAATCTGTATACATTCCCTGGCATTCAGTAACAAACAGGACGTAGTCACGGAACTCGCAATCTACATTAATGGAATAACAATTCATGAAAAAATTATTACTGAACAAAAAATATTCTTTTCGATAACCTACTCTTCATCAGGTGCTACAGTTCTATATGCATAAAAGTGAATGAATTAGTATTCAAGTATTGGTTTGTAGGGATTTGGTTGATTGGTTACAAGATTTCATCATGAGCTGACATTGGTTACAGAACCATTGGAAAACCAACAAAGAGTACTGAACAGCTGTTTCGTCCTAGTTTGGGACTCTTCATCAGTACGCACCCACACTGGGGGGTTTGAACCCAGGACCTTCTGGTTAAAAGGTTGGCGAGCTAGTAGACCATTGAACCAATGGGAACCGATCCAATGGCCCATGAATTCTAACTTCTGCCAATTCACGATATAGCGTAACCGCTAGCCAATGTCTTTGGCGAGTATTTGTCCTCACACCCGACCTGCTGCACCCTACTGGCACCCTAGTGTTATTAATAACACAAATGTTTAAATAACATTGAATTAATAATAATAATATCAATGGATTACAGTTCAGTAGCATAAACATAACAAACACTACCCACTGAATATCAGAGAAATTAGGAAAATAATATCATAAATTCATGAATTTATAGTCTCCACTGAAAGCCAGAGCAATAGTAGTGGCTGGTTTGACTTCCTTCTTTGCACACAGAGCACGATAACCTCTGCTGTTTAGAGTATGTGGTACCCAGTAGACGATAGAAAAGGAGTCTTCAATGCTCGCTTTATGGCCGGCCGGTGTGGACCAGGTGATCTAATATCGAGCTGTTGACGGTTTTTACCACACCTTTATTTAGCCACACTGTTAGATGTTCTAGAGCATGAAAAATCAAGTTCCTAGAGCAACGGTGAATGTAACTCGCTGCACAAGCGCAGTTGAACTGTTAAATACAATTAGAAGTGGCTAGTCTGGGTACTTCGTCTTTCAGTTGACAAATCGCCATCAGTCGTAGAGAAAATTTAAACTTGTAGTTTGCCATTTCCTACCATTATTTTTTTCCTTCCTTTGCAACCACAGTGGAACGTGGTGCTTCAAGCTTGGATTCTGAAATTTTAGTAGCGTTGTTTTTGTTGTTTCCAACACATTGGGTTGCTAACGCCATATACAACTTTCCGTCTTGCCCGCCTGTTATTAAACTAGATGACGCTTCAAGGTAGATCGGCTGGGAATCGAACTCACGAACACTAAGGCACATTTTTCTACAATATTATGAAATAAATTCGGCAGGAAGCTTGCCAATTGACTTGCAACCCAGTGACCGAATGGTCAAACGGTTGGCTTCATGCCAAGATGGTTCAGAATCCGATGCTTAGTAGGGAAATGGTCGCGTACCGATGAAGAGTTTAGGGCTAAGATCAGGTAAATGTTCAATACTTCTTGGCTTCTATAAGATGATTTTGTTTAAATGGAATCAGTTCATGAATAAACCTGAACTATATACGTTTTGTTTTGTTAAATTTCTCCTTGAATTGTTATTGTCTCTTCTGATATTTTACATTTCTACCCAGCTATATTTGAACAACAAAAGAAACGTCAACAAAAGTCCTTAGAACAGAATCAACCAACAGCAGTTGTACTTGGGTGTATACCTACGCTGAATAAAATCAATACTACAAATATTGGTAGTAGCGGTACTACTACTAATACCACTGGTACTAGTGGTACACCACTGGAGACGACAGAGACAGGTACAGGTAGTATACCACGTAATTCAACAAATCAAGTTACTGGAGTACCAAAGGAAAATGGATTAGTAGGAAAGTAAGTGACCCACTTTTTATTGATGTTATACTCCTGATAATATCATGAATAGTCAAAATTTTATGTTACTCTTATACCATAGAATACCGTCAAGTGGTGCTCAAACCCTTGTGACTACGAGGTTAAACGTATGCTTTAAGTTAAGTCTATCGCTATCAATGTATTTAGTTGGTATCATTTCGATAATAGTAGATCAAAGTCAAGTTTGGAGATGGTTTCATCTCTGATGAGGTTCATCAGTTACAAATAAATTTAGATATTTTTCAACCACTGATGTTTGACCTCACTAAAAATCTCAATGGCAATCTTGCATTATCTTCAGTCCTATGTGATAAATTCTTTTTTTATTTTATGGTTAAAGGCAATCAGCAAGAAGCTCTTCCTGACCTAAGTTCCATACTTATTGGTAGTCGTCAGCAAGAAATATCTGTATCCTTGAGGGAAAAAATGTTCCCTACCCGAGATTTAAACCTAGATCACCCAGTGTCGCAGTCAGAGACATTATCAGTGCATTATCTGAGGCTAACGACTGAAGATTAGTCAAACCTGACCAACACCAGAGGCTTGACTCATGGTATTGATTACCAATCACTATAAGGTTATTTTTCTATACTTCTATAAATTCACCACTGCGAATGTCAAAGAATTTTTGCATTTCATTGTGTAAGACTTCTTTCAACTTCATAATATTTGCTTTTATAAAACACAAAATAACTGAGCAAAGAATATCCTTTTCGAAAATTTCCTCTTCGGGCTCTACAATTATACATATGTTTATATACATAGAATATTCTAGATTAGTAGTTAATAACAATATATAATATCGATTTGTAAAGTAAGATCATTGGAATTACAGTTCATTAAAGATGCTCAAATTATAGTAATAATAACAATAAAGATATAATAGCGAATAGAATATCAACTAAAATTAGGAAATTTCCACAAAGATTCAGAATCATTCGAACTTAAATAGTCAAGGTAAGGATAATGTCTGAACTAGCTTCTTTTGGACACATAAATTAGTCTTCTTAATGTGGATCCTGACGGCCTCAGCAACAATATTTAGTAAACGAACTGTTAACGTGAAGTTAAGACTAGTTGGTATGCGGCAAATGACTTTGAAAGCCGCCTCGCTGACATAAATCTTGAGTTGTGTATATTCACAAGATGAGATAGAATAGCGCTGTGTGAGTGCATTTTGTTTGTCCTTTACTTAACCACTATGCAGGGTGGTGTAATTTTCCGATTGGAAGGCATATGAGAGTAGATTTTGACATTATGGTAGAGAACAATTCCATCATAGAGAAAATTTATTTGATAAAATTAGTGATACAGTGATACAGTATGATGACATTTCGGGGACACTTTATTGCTCATAATCATATCAAGGCGTGTTATATCATTTTATATTACACATGTTAGGTTTAGATCCGATGAATAAAGATTCAGTGACCAATCTCTCTATCAATCTAATTATATTACATTTTAGAATCATAACTCTGTACCATCCTATAGTGTGCTTTTGTGTTTATGTACGCATTGCAATTTATGAGTTTGCCTCTAAAGTACTCATCTTCGTCGGGTTGATTATTTTAAACTTGACTGAATTCTTTCTTATGTTCTGATAATCTGGCGCTACCCTCGATCTTCTGGTCTAACCTATGTAGCTAACCTCATAGTCAATACAAAGTATTCTTATGGATTACATTGTTTTATCGAATTGAGTCAACAGAGTCCTGGGGCGTAAAAAGCTTGTTCCTCAGTGAATTTGTAGATTTAAATGTCATCCTAATTCTATGTAGAGCGTATGTGTTCCTTTTTATACATGACAGTACTACAAAACCTCTGAATTCCATATTATATATATATATATATATTATTGGCCAAGTTCAACTTTAGGCACCACTAACTGCCAACAGAGGCGGCCGCACTAGTGATCTTGATACGCTTATTGAGCAGTTCAGTGAAACCTGGCAAATAAGGTTGTCACTATCAATAAATTATGCTCATCGAAGTGTATTGCCACTAAATGGGATATCTGGAAGTTTCAGTTTAGGCCAAGGATCCAAGTTAGGGTTGGGTTAATCTATTAATTGTGACATTGAGGTTATTTCAAGTTAGATTACAGTTAGTTTAAGGGATATTTTCACGTTAGGGTTAGGTTCAGGAAAGATTAGAGTTATTGTTAAGGTTAGAAGACATAAATAATTAAACGCATAGAATGCGGTTAAATTACTCTGTTGATATATGAATAGAACTTGTACACTGTGGTGGTAGAGTATAATTCCACTGTGGGTAACATTTTTTCGATAAAGTCTCAGGGTTTTATACTGTGATATTTACTGATGACGTTTCGAGTACAATCTATTGCCTAGTAATTATTACTATATAACACTATGAAACTTTATCAAAATAAATTTTACTCACAACGGAATTATACTCTGTTGATACACCAACCTAAAACTGAGAGCTACTTTTAACACATGTGAGAGGAAGGTATCCTCTGTAACACTTTTAAACAGTTTTTATGCATTTTTTGATAAATATATGTATTCCACACACAAAAATGCTTCCTTCACGTGACTGATGCGTTCACGGTCATTAGCTGACTGTGATAATGTTAGTGGTGCTTAAAGTTTAACTTTGCCCTGTCGAGTACTCTCTACTGGTTTTCCGATGTTTCTTTGACTTCAAGTGTTGGTTTGTAGGGATTTGATTGGTTTCAGGATTTCATCATGAGTTGACATTAGATAGGATCCCAGTGGCTTAATGGTATACGAGCTCGCCTTGTAACCGGAAGGTCCTGGGTTCGAATCCCGGTGGGCGCGTACTGCTGAAGAGTCTCAAACTAGGACGAAACAGCTGTCCAGTACTCCAAGTCTTCCTATGGTTCTCTAACCAATGTCAACTCATGATGAAATCCTGAAGTTTCTTTAACTGTTTTCAACTTCTGATCGAATCTGAAACAAGTCTAGAGTTCTGCTTGTTAAAATTAAGGTTAGACAGTTGAAGATATCAAACCAATAACAAAACAAAGCAAATAAATAGGGGATTTTATTTTGACCAAACAAAGCTAAACTAATCTTCTTTTTTTGCACAGAATTTGAATTCCTGTTTTCTCAAATTAATTTGAAGCATCACGCATGCATCGCTAAGGTCATATTCAATCAAATATTATTTGTCAGGTTATAATTGAATATTGACGGTGACGACCTTAGCATAAAGTTTATGAGTCATAAGAGATTTCACTCTATAGATATTTTAAGTTGTTATCATTGGATAGAAATGATACTTAAGATGAATAAGGAAAGTAGTGTCATTATCCCTTTTAATCCATAGTAAAGAAAAAAAGCTGACAAGACGCATCATTGAAAGATATTTAATCCTTCTCAGGGGAATAACATACCCTTTGAGAATTAAAATGCCCTTAAAGATAACTCTGAATGAGGATGAAGTGAATTAATTTATCTTGGGAATTTGAATTCTAATAATACCTGGTGGTTGGTGACTAGCAGTGGAATCCAGGATAACGTGCATTTCGGCCTATTTGGGATTCGTCAGCTGTGGATGTACCTGCATTCTCCAGTGAGTCAGTGATGATGTTCCCCGCACCTAGGCTGGAACCCAGTGACCACAGTTTCAAACGCCAAAGCTTTATCCACTTCGATCTAATCAGTCGACGGGAAAATCTAAAATTCAATTAAATAATTAATATAACCCGTTGCACAAGAGGTGGCTCTCATGGCCCAAGTAGTCTAGTGGATAACGCTTCGGCGTTTGAAACTATGGTCACCGGTTCAAGCCTCGGTGGGAACATCATCAGTCAATGGGGAATGCAGGTACATCCAGATGATGAGTCACAGAGAGGACGAAATGCGCGTTATCCTGATCCCACTGCTAGTCACCATCCACCAGTTAAATTCTAAATACATGCTTGGAAATCGTCGAAGCATCTGCACAAGAAGCCTACATGTCAACCTGAGATCGAGCACTTCGGTCCAATCAATCGACGGGAAAATCTATAATTCAATTAAACATTTAATAATACCTTTTCATACTAATTATATTTCTTATTCCCTTTGGTTCTTAGTGGAATAGATGGTTTCAACAGTACATCTTTAATGCATCCTGTACTCTGAAATCTTATTCAGCTGTCTGCATGATTGTCCATAAGCTTTATTTCGCCCTCATAGCATCTCCTCCGTGTCACCCAGCAACACCATTCAACTCGGAGGTATGACTGGCATCTGATATCCTTTAATGATCTTCTCAGTGTGTGTCCGATTTATCTTCATTTCATCCAAAATGTTTGTTGGGGGGGGGCGGGGAGTAATAGGTTCTTAGTTTGTCCGTTTGCTTATCCTTTCTGGACAGTCATTTGATCACCAGTGTCAAGAGAAGACAGCTGTTGATGAAAGTCTTCAGTAATCTGTTCGAAATGCTTTTTATCAAGCATCAAGTCTCTGGATTATATAAAAATACTGGTTTGACATTAATGTTGAAAATCTGAATGTTTTTCTTCATACTGACTGCCGTCATTTAGCCTACTCACTGCCTAATGGATTTATCTTCTTTCTACAATTATTCTGATTGTGTCTTCTCATATTATTCACAATTGGTTAAAGATACACACGGTTTCTAAAGTTGTAGGAAAAGCAAACAAATAACGACTGATATCTGTGGTTCAAGACATGGCTTACTGTTGTGGCTCAGTACCTAGTGCCCAGTATTGAGTTTGAGTCTCAATAGGCACTTCATCACTCGCTAGGGGATACATTTACATCAAGATGAAGTGTTACATTTAAAACGAGACCTATATTCTGAATTGCAGTTGTTAATTTTAACTAATTTAAGCTTTTTATCAGCCATTTCTGTTACTTAGATTAAATAAATAGTATTAAAGCTTATCAGTATTATGCTAGTGATCAAATATAAGTCGGTTTCGTAAAAAAGGCCAGCTATTTTTTATCATAGGTGCCTGCATTCTATCTCCCTTGTGA